TTTTTTTCTTTTTTCTTTTTGTCTTTTTGTTCAGGGTGAGCAAATTATGTACATTACAAAGAGAAACTGAAAATTCTAATTATTCTGCTCTGAAAGAAGGTATCATGCAAAAATAATACATAATCCTTGACTTTTATAATAATGAAAACTACAAAGTTTCATTAGGCCATTCTCCACTGTGAGTAGACGATAATTGAGGGTGCAAGGAGGGGTAGATTGTATGCTAACCTAATCTTTGTCATAAAACGAACAAAGTGACTGTTCTTAGACTCAAACCTTATAGAAAGTACCAATAATCTTATAAAATAGCCAATATTGACATAGATAATTACAACACAAACATGCACCCCCACCCCAAACCAATGACAATGACAACCGCAAGTATGTGTGTAAATTCTCCAAATAGATTTGCAATAGGCCCCACAAACAATGCAGGCCCTTAGGGAAGGCAAGCAAGGCAAGTGCCTTATGCATTGTTTGGTTCACTAGAAAGAAGAGGAATGAAATGTTTGTTTCACTAAAGGAATGATGAAAAATGTATTATAAATGAAATTATATTTTATCGTCATAAGGGAATAGTCATTTCACATGGAGGGTAAGGAATGATCATTTCATTCGATTCTAGTGAACGAAACACTACAAATAGTATTAGTAAGAAGCATTAATCTTACGTATTCGATCAACCATGTCAGAAGAAAGATTGAATGTATTAGCTATTTATCCATTGCAAAGTATATGTATATGAAGATAAACTAAGGCCAAGTTTGGGATACTTGAAAAAAGCCAAAAAGTTACTCAAAAAGTTAAAAAGTTAACACTATTCACCAAAAGTCAACAATTACGGCTGCACAACTCTCAATCCGAATTTTCCTCTACAAATTAATTTTTACAATTTTTTATTACGCATTTTTTTTATAAAAAGTCAAAAAGTTAATCCAAACATTTATATTTTCTTTCTCAATTTTTTAGTCCAAAAAGACAAAAAGTGCACTTATTTAGGACACCCCAAACAACCCCTAAATTATACAAGCTTAATTAGTAAGTTTAAATGACTTGATAAATTTTCTACAAAAATAAGATGAATAGTATAATTTTTTATTTATTTTTTTAATATTTTTTAACATTTTAATTTTTGTAGTTAATGCCAACCCAACCCTTACTAAAGTCTTTGTCAAGGTAGCATTTGCCTTCGTTGGAATCCATCTCTTTTGGAATCGGGTAAGGCCCCACTATTAACTGGCAAAGGGTTCAGGTCCAATAGCGCCTTACGCTTAAACAGTTGAACATTTGTTGCCCAATGTTAATTCGTGGTCTTGTTTGTAGAGTTGCTAAGAAGTTTACATTTTTGCATCTTTAATGGTGACCTATTGGGGTTTTAAATTATATTTTCGATATATTTTATATTAAATTTGACCTAAGTTTTATTTATAATTAAAGTTGTATTGGCACCATAAATAAATAATTTTTATTTACAGGACATGTGACACTCTATTACTTATTTAGAAATTATGAGAAGTTATAAAGTATTAAACACATATAAAAAGATAATGAAGGACAAAGTGCAGAACATGAAACATAAATTGGAGATTAAAAGAAGTTATGAAAACATGGAGATGAAATGGAATAGCCATTCATGATTACAATGTAAGGTAGTTCAAAAGTCAAATCAAAGACATTGATTTTTATTTTTCTTGTTATTTATATTTCTTGCACTTAATTTTTTGCACTTCACTTGCGAAGTATAGGAGTAGAGATTAATTTTCTCCACTTTATTTTTTACACTTCCGTTTCAAAGCATATTAGTAGAGGTAAATTAATGGTTAGTTTGATTGTTTACTCAATCACCCCGATTGTTCACTCAATCATCTTTCTCCATTTCCTTCCTTCTTCTTTTAATTTTTCTTTTCTCTACACTTGACAATTTTGAAGTCTTCTTTATTGAGGTAAAAAAACCATTAACACAATCGCTTGATAATTGACTTGAATTTAATCTATAAGAATTTTTTAATCTTTACTAGCACACTCGCATTTATGATATTTTACTTCGTAGGAAAAATAAGCCAACAAGTTGCTAGAATAATATTATTGTCTAAAAATACTATTCATCTTCTTCTTGTTCCCTTCGTCAACCAAAATTTCAAAATATTTAAGAACTCAACTAACAGAATTTTGCAAGCCCGGTCGTCCAAGAGGTTGTCCAGTTGATGTTGGTCCAGCGTTGGTTAAGTTAAAAAATAACAATTTTATTGTTGAAGCAACATGGTTATTCTATAATTTTTTCACATTGTTCATTGTTAAATTATAACTTTAGCTATAAATTTTACCTATTCATTGGTGGAATTGCTCTAAAACAATAAAAATTAAAAAATTATTATAAATTGTCATGCAATTTTTTTTTTATTTTTGTTATATATTTCTTATAAAAAAATAAAAATTTAATTAAAATAATCAATTCTCAAACAAGCAATGTCGTTTGGCATAGGCTAAAGTGGCTAAATTA